TATATTAAAAAAGGAACACACAAAATCTCAATAAATCCTGGAAAATGGCCAAAGGAATTGAGATATTCATTAGCACAAGAAAACCAATTAGATAATAAAGACAAAAAATATGAAACACTGCTGGAGGGAAGAGGAGGAGTCACTAAAATAGCCAACTTGTACACAGAGGGTCATGGGACGGCAGGCTGCATTAAAACCTGAAAAACATGCATACCTTACTCAAAAACCTCACACAGAAGCTTACTCTAAAGAAAGAATAAAGATCTAATACTGTTTATTATACATTATTTTTAATAGAGAAAAAGGAAGTTATATGTTGAACTAATATTAACTACCTAGATAGGGATTAAATTGGGTATTTGTTGTAGTGCTGTGAACCAAATTCATTCATTGAAAAAAACAACTAATAAGGTCTGGAGGAAGATGGCAGAGGAGAAACTGTAGAGCTGCTGCATGGCAAAGGACATAGCTAGCAAGATCAATAGGAAGCCCATGGATTGGGAGAAAATTCAACAGACAAGGGCCTGGTATCTAAAATATACTTAGAACTCAAAAAATTAAATCCCCCAACAACATCCTCAAAGAAACAACCACTTGTTTAATAAGTGGGCTAAACACTTAAAGAGAAACTTCTCTGAAGAGAAAATAACAATAGCCAATAGACACAGGAGAAATGCTCAACTTCTCTAGCCATAAAAGAAACACAAATCAACATTGAGATACCACCTCACCCCAGTTAGAATGGCTAGAATCAAGAAATCTAATAACAACAGATGCTGGAGGGGATGTGGTCAAAAGGGAACCCTACTGCATTGTTGGTAGGAGTGTAAACTTGTTCAGTCACTCTGGAAAGCAGTATGGGGGTTCCTCAAAAGACTTCACATAGAGCTCCCTTATGACCCAGCAATCCCACGTTTGGAGATTTAAGCAAACAAGGCCATACTGAAGCTGCCAGTACAACTATGTTTATCGCAGCATTAGTCACCATAGCTAAGATATGGAATCAGTCCCTCCGTAGACGAATGGATAAAGAAAATGTGAGGTATTTATTTATTTATTTATTTATATGAATTCTATGCCTCCATGAGAAAGAATGGCACTACCCCATTTGTTAGGAAATGGAAAGATTTGGAAAAATTATATTAAGTGAAGTAACCATATCCAAAATAACAGTCCCATGGTTTCCCTTATTTGCAATAACTAGTATACATCAAAAATCTTACCAGACAAGCAGAGAAGGTCAAAAGCTATGTACATATGAACATATCAGATGATGCTAAGTGAAATGAACCCCAAGATAGGGACACATTTTTTTTAATGTACTATGTCATTTTTTTTTGTTTCTTTTGTATGTTCTCCCCCTTCCCCCACCCCACCCCCGGTATAACCCCTGTTGTCACTGTTGTCACTGATTCTAGTGCCCTGCATCTTGTATACACATTTTTCCAACTTGAGGAGGGGAAGGGAAATAACACAATGCTGAAATAAGGATACAGGCTGAACCATTGTAGCAATGAGATGTACAAGACACTATGTTGAAAACCAACCTTACAATTTTGTTGTAGGGTGGAGGGTTTGGGGAGGAGGAAAGGGAAGGGAGAGGAGGGGGAAAATAAAAGAGTGGGTAACAATGCTCAATAGGAAATGTACTCATTACCTTACTCATGCACCTTACTCATAACCCCTCTGTACCATATCTTTACAATAAAAAAATTAAAAACTAATATGATCAAAGTACTTCATATGCACACATGAAAACAGCATTATGAAACACATTAAAGTTGTTTAGAAAGTGAGGGAGTCAAAACAAGAAAAAGTAATAGAGGGGGTGAATTGGATCAAAATATATGCATATATGGAAATGCCACAGAGAAATTTCTTTGTGCAATTAATATACAGTAATAAAAATCATTTAAAGTCATTGCTGTTAAATGAATGTGGAAACATTTCATTATTTGAAACCCTTTCTATAACAGTCTTATTTAAATATCTAGTTAGCCTAAAATTAGGTATATAAATTATGGCACATTTGCTTAATAGAACATTACTAACATATGTTTAATGATACAGATTTACATTTACATATATGAATACTTAGAGTTAAGAGAAAAAGTTAGTTATAAATAGAATATAAAATAAGAAGTTATTTTTCTTCATTCTTTCTGTTTTTTTGTTTTGTTTTGTTTTTGTCAGTCGCCGGGCTTGAACTCTGGGCCTGGGCACTGTCCCTCAGCAATTCAGCTCAAGGCTAGCGCTCTACCATTTGAGCCATGAGCCACAGCGCCACTTCTGGTTTTCTGAGTGGTTTATTGGAGATAAGAGTCTCATGGACTTTTCCTGCCCAGGCTGGCTTTGAACTGTGATCCTCAGATCTTAGCCTCTAGAATAGCTAGGATTATAGGCATGAGCCACTGGCGCCCGGCTCTTCATTCTTATATATTTGCATAAAGCTATAAAGACTACACACAAAACTTTAACACTGATTGTAGCTGAGTACTAGAATTATAATTTCTAATGTCATATATATAATGTATATATATATATACATACACAAACATTTTCTCAAGTTGCTAAAATAATTATATATCCATTTAACTGTAAGAAAAGTAAATAATATAAATGTTAGTGCTTTAAATAGAAAAAGAAAACAGTGAGTAACATATGAGTTGGGTGCTAATGGGACAACATACTAGAAGTTATCTTTTTCTTTCCTTTTGAACACATGCTGCACTCATATAGTACTAAGTGGAAGCAGAAAAAGCCACCCTGGAGATGCCCGGTAATGAGCCAAATACAGTGCTGGGAAAACTAGTTGAAAAAAATGTTCTTCTATAAAATCAGATTCAAAATGTATTTGTAAAATTAGGGAAGTCTTTGCTTTTCTGCTTTTTTTGTAATTAATCTTTTTACCTCCCACTGTCTTTGTATCCTGCATATCTTATATGTAGTTTTCACATGGCTTATCTCATAATTGCCTTCCCCACTCTCACCAACAACCTGCAGCTCAACCCACACTGCCTTAAAGGGTGTGTGAAAGCATCATCGAGGCATGAAATCCAGCCGTGTCTGCTGATCAACCTGTGGTGCAAGAAGCCTGGGGATGGAAATCTCTGGTCTTTATAATTAAGTGGTCAGTGCCTCCATATTCCATCAGAAGTACAGAAATCCTAATGATTAAATCTTCCCAGTGCAGCTTCAAAGCAGCCCTGTCTTGTGGCTTATTCCTTCTAAGAGAAGGAGTCTCCAAAAAAAAGTCCATTATTGAAAAGTCAATGAAGCAGTGAACTGATGGACTTAGAGCACATAATAGATCTGCTCATGAATTATTGAGGAACTTTTCCATTACAACCTCTAATATTTCAGGCAAACTAGTGATTTCTGAAATGTAATATAAGATCTTTCAGATAAATATGAAAGTTGGGAGAACAACATCTTATCCTTTTCTTCCTCAGTTGTGATGAAACGGTTTCAGTGAATAAATTCCTATTTTATGTTTGTTTTGTTTTCTTAAACATAAACCTTGCCTGTATCTCTCCTCCTCTCTCTCTAGGTCTAGACCAATACATGCCAAGTCTGTTGAGACCATTAATGAGGATATTTGTTCATAGGAACAAATACTGGTGATATAAATTTATATAAAGCCAATTATTATTTACTCAGTACTGTCTATGTGTTAGACACTGCAAGTTTCATAAAATAATATCTGTCCTCCCACAAGCTCCCACTAAAACAGGAAGTGCAAAGAGGTACATAAATAGTTTTACTGCAAGAGCAATTTGATGCTTCTAACAATAGAAAAACAAATAATGCACTCTAGTGGCTGTAGGCACAAGCCCTAGAGGTAGACTGCCTGGGTTAGAACTCTGGTTCTACCCACCAGTTTATGAGAACTTAACAGGCTATTTACCCTTCTCTATCTCAGTGTCTTCACCTGTAAAATAGAGATTATACTGGTATCGACCTCATAGGGCTATTGGGAGAATTAAATATGGAAATATGGAAGTATTTTAATGGACATATTTCAATATTTGTATAATTATTACTAGCATATGAGGTGATCACAGACTAATTATGATCATAATAAGGAACTGGAAAAGCACCATGGAGAAATGGAATCTATGGCTCTGTTATAAAGGATGGTAAGAATTTTAATGTACAATGATGGTGATTCATCTGACCAGAAGTCTAGAGGCAGGCTAGATGAAAATTGGTGTCAACTGAGTGGTCCAGGGGTGTGACAGAAGAACAGAAAATGTGGTAGGCTGGGATATGATTCCAGGACATATTGAATGTCAGGCTAAGTATATGGATATCACTGGGCACTGGTGGCTAATGCCTATAGTCCTAGCTACTTAGAATGCTGAAATCTGAAGATCCAGTTTTGAAGCCAGCCCTGACAGAAAAGTCTGTGAGACTCTTTAGCTCCAATTAACCACCAAAAAGCTGGAAGTGGAGCTGTAGCCCAAGTGGTAGAGCACTAACATTGAGGAAAAAAGCTAAGGGACAATGCCTTAGCCCTGAGAAGTTCAAGCCCCAGTACTGGAACATCCTGAAACACCCCTTCAGAGAATTACCAGTAGTTGACATTGATAGTGATACAGACAAGGACATGAGACCACTTGTCTCATGTTCAAAAAGAACATGAGTGGACCACTTATCCACTGTTCAAAAAGAATCACATAAAATAAATACAGTCTTTTAAACAAAAGCTTCTATTGGTCCATGAAGAAATTATATCTCAAAGAAATGGACAAAGTTAAAACTGGAACTAAATTTACACACACACACACACACACACACACACACACACACACACACACACACACACACACACACACCTCCCAGTGATACAACTGTGAGGCTTTATCAAACCACTGTGGCCTAGGCAAAGTAGCAAAATGCATACTGTGCTGACTTTCAATGCTGACAAAAGCTTGGATATGTATGGGTGAGGGGAAGGGCTGTCATGATACTAGGAAATGTCTAAAGCAAGAACTTACTTCCAGATCCATCCTTGACTCTAGGTCCTTCTGGTTTAGCCTCAGAGATGATGTTAGCATTGGCATTATTCTCGAGCTCAATCACAAAGTCACTGTCCTCTTCAAACTCAGGGTGGCTAAAGATCCAATCCAGTGCTCTTTCCAGGTTATTATTCTAATAAAACAAAACAATTTTATGACACATGCAGTCCCCTGGGTCTCATTATATCCTGACCATTTCAGCCAGATGCTGAACAGAGGGCAGAAGGCCTGAATTAATTAATCTAAGTGCCTCTGAGCCAGAAGCTCTGCCTCTTGCCTAAGAGATGCACCCATGTCTGTAATTGGATTCACCAGAAAACAGTTCTGAGCAGTAGATCGTCATTCCAAAGCCCCAATCTGTCTCAGTCAGCATCTCTGCAGGCTGATACTGATAATGATGAGTGCAGAATGACAAAAGGAATAGGAACAGCATTTGCCTAAGTGCAGCCCCTTCTACCACCACAGTAACTGAACAAATCATCTTCTCTGCCAACTGCATTTCCTGGAGAAACATGAGATAGAGTGGTGCCAATGTGAATACTGTTCATGCCTCCTTTCTCTACATATTGGAGGAATAACTAGATTGCAGTAGAGATGAGATTAATGACTTGGTTAAGTGATAGCTTTAGCACAAATAGTTCAAACCAATTCACCATGAAAGCATTCCCACCTTTCCCTGTGTGTGCTGTCACTGGCAAGCTAAAAAATCTGTTTAGTCAGAAGCTACAATGAAACAGTCAGGCAAACAAAATAAGCAGAAACACAAGGAAGTATCCTAAGTGAAATAAAATTTGGTTGAGACTCTCTTTTGAGCATTTGAAAAGAAAATAGAGTGTTCCAGAAAAATTTCCACAGCCAGTCAAAAGACAGGGTATTGCCAGGCAGTGGTGGCTCACACCTGTAATCCTAAATGAGGAGGCTGAGATCTGAGAATTGCGGTTCAAAGCCAGCCCAGGCAAGAAAGCCCATGAAACTCTTATCTCCAATAAACCACCAGAAAGCCAGAAGCGGCATTGTGGCCCAAGTGGTAGAGCACTAGTCTTGAGCTGAAGAGGTCAGGGACAGCACCCAGGCCCAGAGTTCAAGCCCCACGACCAACAACAACAACAACAAAAAAGGCAGCATGGCCTCAGCCACAGACTGTATCAGCCAAGACAGGCAACAAGGACCTAGAAGCAGACATCCACTCAAAAATGGATTACGAAGCCAGGTACAGGTAGCTCACACTTCTAATCCTAGCTACTTTTAAGGCTGAAATCTGAGAATTGTGGTTTAAAGCCAGCCCAGGCAGGAAAGTCCACAAGACTATTATCTCTAATTAAACAGAAAAAAAAAAGGCCAGAAGTAAAGGTGTGGTACAAAAGTATCAGCCTTGAGTGAGAAAGCTAAGGGGCAGTGTCCAGACCCTGAGTTTAAGTCCCAGTACCAGCAAACAAAAAAGTAGATTAAGATATGGCAAGAGAAAAAAAAAGATGTGTTTTATTTAAAATAAAAGTATTTTCCCTAAAATAGGTATCTATACTGCAAGAAATTTTATCTACCCTCTAGTTCCATAGTCCCCTAACTCCTAATATATCAGGATACTCCTCATACACACACACACACACACACACACACACACACACACACACACACACACACACACACACACACATATATACATATATATGTATATATGTGCAGAGAATTCCAAGGAGCTATTCAAGCCTTCTATGAGACTCCAGGAAGTGGAGCTGTAGCTCAAGTGGTAGAGCACTAGCCTTGAGCTGAAGAGCTGAGAGACAGCACCTAAGCCCAGGGTTCAAGGCCCACGACCGACCAAAAAAACAAAATAAAATAAAATAAATAAAAAATAAAACATTTCTCCATATCAGGTCTCCATATCAGAAAAGTATTATTTCATTCTCTTATTGACACAGAATCTCATGCTTGCCGTAGCAAGTTGCAAATCAAATCCATGAGTCTTGTTGACAAGCATTTAAGATGAGGAGGGTTTTCTTGTAGTTTGGTTATGCTGCCCTAGCTTCATTGTCATCATATACTTTAATTCACTGTATTGTTTAGTTTAGTTATACATATACTATCTGTAAATAAATCTTTACGAGCCAAGGTAGGGTGCTTTATTGGGCACAGATTGCTTCAAAGCAGTCAACAGATGTGAGAAGTCTTAGTTGCTACTGACAGAAACACAAACCTACTCCCTTAAGAGGGGCATTCGCACAGTCTCTCAGGCTTACTGTTGCTTTTAGTGCCTGCACAGCCTGATTCCGCTGGAATCCCATGGAGGTAATGATAGCTATGATTTCCTCTGGAGGTTGGTTATCCAATGCAGTAGCACCAAAGACAGAAGCCCCAGCAGATGCTGCTCCTCCATAGCCAGGCATTGTCAGTGGTTCAGCAAAATCTGAAAATGATCACATCCAAATGTTTTTTGTTGTTGTCATTGGGTTTTTTTAAATTTTTTTATTGTAAAGATACTGTACAGAGGGGTTACAGTTACATGAGTAAGGTAATCAGTACATCTCCTATTGAGCATTGTTATCTCTTCCTTTATTTTTCCCCTACTATCCCTTCCCTCCCCATCTCCCCAATTCCGCCCCCCCCACCAAGTTCTAAAGTTCGTTTTCAACATAGTATCTTGTACATCTCATTGTTACAGTGGGTCCACCTGTACCCTTATTTCAGCATTTTGTTATATCCCTTCCCCTCATTGGTTTTTTTTTTTAATCTAGCAATTGACATGCTTTAGAGTTAAGGAAAGATACGTACAAAATTGTAATAATTAGGACAGTCTGGGATAAGCATAAGGATATACAAATCAATTTAATAGAATTGGAAGTTCAGAATTAGTCTATACATATAGGCATATGCTTATGGATCCATAACCTATTGATTTTTGACATGACCATCCAGTAGAGAAAAGACAATTTTCTCATCAAATAATGCTATAATAACCAGCCATTCCAATAGAAAAAATAAAGTCAAACTTCACACCACAGACAAAACTAACTGAAAATGGCTCATTAGCTTAAATGTAGGGGCCAAAGCTACAAAACTTTTGGAAGAAACCATAGAAGGACTAAGGATGTGGCTCAAGTGGTAGAGTACTTGCCTACCAAGCACAAGTCCCTGAATTCAATCTCCAATAATGCAAAAAAGAAAAAGAAAACAGAAAAAAAACAGAAATAAATAAAGGTTTCTTAGACATAATATGAAAGACACCAGTGCCTACGGAAAAAAAATAGACAATTGAATTTCATCAAAATTTCCAAAGCAGATGCTTCAAATTGTAAGCAAGAATATGAAAAGACAAGCTGAATGTGGTCACTCACACCTGTAATTCAAGCTACTCAGGAGAGTGAGATCAAGAAAATCATGGTTTGAGGCTAGCTTGAGCAAAAACTCTGCAAGACCTCATCTCAACCAGTAAAAAGCTGAGAAGAGTAGCTTGCGCCTGTAATTTGAGCTACACAGGAAGTATAAATAGCAAATGATCCAGGCTCACCTGGACAAAAAGTGAGACCCTACCCAAAAATTAACCAAAGCAGCCAGGCACCAGTGGCTCACACCTGTAATCCTAGCTACTCAGGAGGCTGAGATCTGAGGATCACAGTTCAAAGCCAGCCCAGGCAGGAAAGTCTATAAGATTCTTATCGCCAATAAACTACTCAGAAAAAGCTTGAAGTGGTACTTGTCTCAAGTGGTAGAGTGCTAGCCTTGAGCACAAAGAGGCTTAGAGACAGCACACAGGCCCTGAGTTCAAGCCCCAGAAGAGGCAAAAAATAAATAAATAAAAATAAACAAAGCAAAAAAGAATAGAGGCAGGGCTCAAGTGACATAACACTTGCCTAGCAATCACAAAGCCCTAAGTTCAAATCTCAATACTTCCAAAAACAAAAAATGGAAAGACAGCAAAATGAGAAAAAAATTGTATATCATCTATCTGATATCTATCCAGAAATTAGAGCCCTCTTTCTGGGAATATAAAATGGTTCTTCAGAAAGCTAATATATTACATGACAATTCCTCCTAAGAGAAATGGAAATATATATCTACACAAAACTTTTGCACATGTTGGAGACACTGCTCAAGTGGTAGATTGCCAACTGTAAGTATATAAGGCAAATGAGATCTTGAGGTCCCAAGTTCAAGTCCAGTATTGATTGGCAGACACACACACACACACACACACACACATTGTATGAAAATAATTATAGCCACACTATAATTCAAAGACTGGAAACAATCTAAATGTCCATCAACTGATGAAATAATAAATAAAATGTATGTACACATAACAGAATTATTATTCTGTTATAAGAAAGAATGAAATAGCCAAGTATAGTGGCTTATATTTTTAACACCTGCTACTTGAGAGGCAAGGATTAGGAGGACAGCTGATCAAGGCCAGTCCAGGAAAACAGTTCCCAAGATCACCTTGTCAGTCAATAAGCTGGACACAGTAGTGTACACATCTTCTCAGCTATTCAGGAAGCATAAATAGGAGAGTCATGGTACAGGCCAGCACAGGCATAAACCTAAAGGCTTTGAGTTTATGCCTCAAGACTGTGATCACTAACACACACACATACACACAAACACACATATGCACACATATATGCATGCATGCATATGATTCATTCATATGAAATGCACAAAAAAGATAATTTTTTAACAATTATAGAATATCCAGAAAGTAGATTAGTGATTTTCAGTGTCTGAGGAGAGCTAGAGAGGGAATGGGAAGTGACTGCTAGGGTGGAGAAGATTTTTTTAAAGAAAAATGTTCTAAAATTATAAATGGTAACAGCTATATAACTGTGAATGTACTAAAAACCACTGGTATATATACTTTAAATGAGTAGCTAGATGAATTATATCTTATGAAGTAGACAAAAGAAAAGGCTAACTAAAGGGTTTGGATTTCTTCATGCATGGTTCAAGTCTTCATCAACTTAACTAGAAATAGATCTCACATCTTTTTAATAATCTTCTTACCACTGAAGGATATATATGTATATATATATATATCTGTATGTATGTATTTTATTGTCAAGTTGATGTACAGAGAGGTTACAGTTACTTAAGTATGGTAGTAAGTACATTTTTTGTCAAACTTTTACCCCTTCCCTCATTTTTCTTCTACTTTTCCTCCCCCACCCCCCATGTCCAAGTTGTACAGATCAAAAAGATATTTTTAAGGGGTAGAGTATGTCTTTTTTTTTTTAATTTTATTTTTTTTTATTTGTGAACAAACTGTACAGAGGGGTTACAATTGCATGGGCAGGATAATGCGTACATTTCTTACCAAGCATTGCAGCCTCCTCCTTTGTTTACCTTTCCCATCCCT